AAAAATTACTGTTCTGTCGAAAGTAGCCATCATACCATCAAGACCACCGAAGTTATTTCATAACTTGCCACCAAACACTGCGCTGGGAGAAAAGAGGTTGCACAAACCTTCAATCCTACTCAACACTCGCTGTCAGCAATTACAAACACTTCCTCCAGGGTTCCAGACGGTCTACTTCACAAGTGACGCCATCAATTACTCATGAATTCTATTAGCAAGCCTTCACATCGTTAACGCTAGGGAGAGAGTCTGTCATGTGGAAAGCAGTAACCGTGTCCGTAACACGATTCTTGACATATTTGTCTTCCTCAGAAGAATAAAGAGTATTTGCGGACAGCATCATCACTTGACAAGCACTCCAGCAGCATAACGTCGTTATACTCTACCAGATACGTCAGATCATGCGAGTTGTTCAATCTGTTTTGAGAAAATAGCACCATGTCAGACTTGTCACCGCTCTCTTTTCTGCCTGGCGCAGCACATCCACACTGAATCCTTGCGGCACCGAGGGGGTCAAGTCGAATTCAAATCCTGCGGTCGAAATGTCTACATTTAGTCTAGCTCAGACACAGAAGCCTCCAATAGAAAATTGTTGTTGAGGGCAGTCAGTAGAAACAATTGTGACCACGACGGATGCTACACGTCCGCCCCGTCAAAAACAGAAGCTTTGGGAACTTTGAAAGGACTCCTACCCAAGTTTTCTCCTGTGTCAAAAATGCCGGCCCCAGGAATATACGTGTTTCCACTGGCAACACGTCCCCACCACTCACTCGATGGAGAAGATGGGTGTGGAATGGAAGACTGGCTACCTAAATCCCCACTAACCATTCCCGGAATGGAGAGCTGACTACCTAAAGTCCCACCAACCATTCCCGAACCGAAAGACTGGCTACCTAAAGCCCTACTAACAGTTCCAATCGAACCGAAGCATGCAGCACAAGCAGAGGGATGATTTACAGCAGATGCATGAGGGTTCAAGCCTGAGTCTCACGCTGGACATGCCAAGATCTTGGGCACTACTGCCCTCCCGCAGTCCTGCCAGCAGCATCTNCACCACCCGTGTCGCTCGACCAACGCACAAAAGCAGAACACAATGATATCGGAACACAAAGACTCAACAGACAGGGGCTAACGTACTTCACAACGTACAATGAATCCTCTGACTGATGCACTATCCACAAGAAACACACTCAGGGTAATGCACCATCCACGAAAAACATTCCCACAGAACGTTCCTTGCTGTTCTGATAATATGTGGCTACTCAACGATCTTCAACGCAGACAGTCCCGCAATGCAAACTGTCCAATCAAGTTGTTCTACGTCACTCTGTCGACACACACAGCAGCAACTATCACGAACAGCTCGTAGCTGTCTGTAACCAAACGGCAGCACGCTGTGCACCCAGTCTGTGAGCATGGAAGTAGCGGCCACACCTACCGCAAGACCACCCAAACTCGGGGTTCCTGGCCAGCCTGACTCTCTTCCGTCCGTCCGCCATCCCAGCAGGCAGGAGCAGGGAGTGGTGTGTGTGACGGATGCGGGAGAAATAATGACCGCACCCGCCCCCTCCGGAACTTCCTACCGCGTGACCCCTGCCGAGTCCCCCGCCACCAGGAGGCCGTTGGTACATTTGGAGCCCGGAGGCCGTTGTTTGTTTGCTCCACGCGGGAGGAGGGTGGTGGCGAAGGAAGCCCGACGGAAGCGATGATGTACACCACACCTCCGTCGGCCCTTCAGCCGGGCATGTGAGTGAAACATCTCCAGATTAGATGCGCCGAGCCGAATGTTCATGCATCCATCGAGAAGAATGAAGATAACATGTGTAGCACCTCTCATGATGGGGGGGGCGTACTCTTATGTTTTGCATGCCCTAACGGTTAGACCGTTGACCACGCGTCCTCGAGAGGACGAAGCATTGTTCCCACAGGACCGATCACCGATGGCCAATCGTTCCTTTCTACATTGCCAAAGGTGGCTCAAAAACGTCTTCCCTAGTCTGTCTATCCTAACGATATCCCTTCCCGCCTTTTCAACCCACCTCCTATGCCCCAGTACAGCTACCGTCCTTTCCTCTCTATTCCATGCCTCCAACATCTCCCTGTACGTTCCATCTTTTTTTCCGCTCAGTCACGTACACTCCCCTCTCCTGCTTGTACAACGGACATTCCGCGACTATATGAACACGGTCTTCGCATTCGAAGTCGCCATTACATTTGAACTCGTCGTCTTGGTCGTCTACCGTCCAATGCTTCGTCGACGTTCTCGAAGGCCTATGTCCCCGGTCCTGAATTTGACCTTAAACATTGTTCCTGCATCCGTTGGTCCATGTAGGTAATACTTGAACCCTATTCCTTCCTTCAACATTCCGTACACTTCTAGACCTTCCTTATCCTTGGAATCTTTCCTTAGATTCTGTTCTCTCTCGGCACAGCAACAGATATCTCATCCTTGAACCCCTGTAGACCCTCCGTTTCCAGCGTTTCATCTTCGTCGATGTCGAGCCGCTTCCATACGTCCTCTACAACCTTGACCCATTCCGTGGGATGTCTACACCTCTCATGATGGGGGGTCCTTTTGCCTCTGGGCACCACGCTCGTGATTCGTCGGTTTCCCTTCGCGTCCGTTGCTCGTGTGTAGAAGGTGTTATAATTGGACTCGGGCGTTAACAAGTCTCGGATGATGAGAATCCAGCGCGAACGGCACGTCCAAGATGTCTTGTGCGTTTTCGAGGTGGCGAAAGAAGCTTGTTTTGACCGTTTGGCTTCAGGCGACCTTTCAGTATGCACAGCTCCTGCGCCTGACCCACGTCGGCCGTTTTGGCTTTGGCGGCCTTTTGCCATGCACAGCTTCCTGTATGATTCACGGTAGCCGCAAACCTAGCTAACCACACCCCATTTGGATTCTTACCTCTGTCAATAACTCGTCACTGCTGCTAACAACATATTCGCCTGATTGAGAGCGAAGTATCTGATTGAGAGCGAGAGCCAAAAAAATTGAAATTTCGGGTCCAGACGCCTCTTGCCATTTCTTGGCAAGTAGGGGACGGGCTATTCCAAGAAGCGGTGCAAATTGAAGGTCTCATCAGCAGCTTCGCGAGCATATGCGTGTCATCGTCATCGGATGCTGCAGCGAGGAGCTAGACAAGTTGCTAGATTTGCCCAGATTGGCTATTTCTGCTCAAACTGTTTCAGGGCGGTATCGCGTCGGGCGGTGGGCTCTGCTGTAGCTTCTGCTCCCCGCTGTAGCTCCACAACGAGAGACTCCCACAGGATGACCAGGGTAGCGGCTTGAAGCTACGGGCTAGCCCTTCAATTCAAGCTACACAGCAAGCTCCACCTCTCAGTGGTAGTCCGGCTACAGCGTATCGCGCAATCTCGCTCTCAATCAGATGCTACGCTCTCAATCAGGCGAATATGTTGTTTGCTGTAGACCGACACTTGCATTTTTCTACATGCAATTGTATCGGTTTTTTTTTGGTTCAACACGCCGCCGCCACGAAAGACGTACGCGTGCAAGCCTTGTCATCGTGTCGGTCGGCCCTACGAAAGGTTGTAGGAGGAGAGAGCGAGGGAGAGTTTCACGGCTGTCGCGTCTCTGAGGGACGTGGGGGGAGAGATAACAGAGGTTAGATACGAGACGAATTCTTTGATTAGTGTGTGACGCACGTGAAAATTGTCGGCTGGCCGGGAAAAAAAAACGTTTGCATGTATCACGTTGTGCTGTTGCATGTGTAAGAGAGGCATTAGGCGGTCGACACCAACAAACTGCAGCCAATGGCATGTGACCATACACATACGCTCAAACCATATCAGAAACAGAGCGTATTTTCCAGTGTTGATTGCGCACGGCCTGCACCGTGAACCGAAAGTGTGTTTCTGTGCTGACGTTTTTGGTCGTCGCCTTTTTTTTTTCTGGGTGCTGCGAGTGATCACTCTAAATCAGCATGCAGCTGGAGAGAGGCTTTGGCGAATGAATGACATGCACAAACTGCAGCCAATGGCGTGCACACACGTCCTCTGCAGGCTTGGTGTTATTGGTCGCACAGGAGCCAAAATTGAAGCATGTTGTGACCCACCAAGCCTTGAATCGGCCTTTTTTTCTTCTGGGAAGAAAACATGTCTCGAGGTAAAGTGCCCTGTATACTTTTTTCTATTATTTCATCAATATGACCCAACGAATCTTACTTTGCTCCGTTGCGGAACATTTTTCTAGTAAATTTGACATGTGATGAGTTTCTTGTAGCCGAGGGCTACAAGAACAGAATTGACCTGCTCCGGTACACAAGAGTTTGGAAGTTGACGCCTGTTTGCTTTCTTGGCGATCGATAGTCTTACTTTTGATAGTGTAGAAGATTGTTTTTCGCGGGTGAACAAGGCAGCAGAGTCAAGGGGAGTTCAAAACCCTCGGGCACAGGATGCAGTCGGGATATTGGCTCCAGCCGGGCAGAAGAAAAGGCCGGCGGCAAGAAACAAATGTTCGGAATTGTCGGAATCGCGCGCTTGCTCAAGTGACCTCCTTGTGCTTGTGGCAACGGTCCTCTACCCTTGACGTGTACCCCGAACGAAGATGCCTCATGGGAGCAGCAGGAAGCCCGCTTTGCATCAACCCTGTTTTGAAGAAGTCAACAGTGCAGATTTAAGCATTTTGTTGTATGGCTTTGCGGGTGATCGTTCTGTGCTGGACTGAGACTGCGGTAGCACGCATTTTTTTGTGTTTCAAAAAATGATTCACTGTGGCTATCAGATGCATTTTGTGTGGGGACATACAACCGCTGAGCATGTCCTGTAGTGTCGTTATTGTGCTTTTAAGAGACAAAATAGTTGCACTGCTCGAAAAGTTCTGATTTTTCCTGCGGTGTTCCCGGCCGCGTTGCCCCCTGCGCATCGCATCCCCGGCCTGGTCACTTCTCATCAAACTCGCCCTCTACCTCTACCTCTACTTTTTCTCCCTGTCCGCGCTTCTTTGTCTCTGTACCATGCCTTCACAGGTTGACCTTCGCTCCAACTCCCGCATCGGCCTCGGAGGCTCTTGGCGCTTCGTGACGTCCATCTCGATGAACGTCAGCGGCGCCTCCTCCACAGGTGAATCGAGCTCCGGTACTCTTTCGTCATCCTTATCGGCGTCCCGCCGCCACACAACGCCCGCCTACGACCGCCGCGGTGGAAAGCGTTCGAAGTCTCAAGGCCGCGGCTCCCGCAACCAGACGGCCCGCGTCGCCGACTCCCGAGAGAACGACATCGACCCCATCGAAGAGGCAGTGAGCATCGCCGAGGTGTGTTGTCCGGAACCCACGGATTGTCGTCAGGCGTTTGCGTAGCTCTCAGCCCTCCTTCTGACTTTCAAATTCAAAATCTACCTCCCGATTTTCTCATGTTGGGCTTGGTGTTCGCGCCTCAAGGCTACGATGAATTTTGAGACGCCTTAGCATGCTCCGTTTGGTCGTCGCCAAGCTGAGGCGTCTGGCGGGGTTTGCCCGAAGACAACCAACTTGGGTTGACGCTCGGACGTTGTCCGCCTTCTCAGCCATAAGTTTTGTTCGTGATAGTTGCTGCTGTGTGTGTCGACAGAGTGACGTAGAACAACTTGATTTGACAGTTTGAATTGCGGGACTGTCTGCGTTGAAGATCGTTGAGTAGCCACATATTATCAGAACAGTAAGGAACGTTCTGTGGAAATGTGTTTGTGTGTGTACTCGGCAGGATACGAATCTCCGAGATCTCCGGGGGTTACGCAGATAGATATTGTACATGATGGGTGCGATGGACTTGACGCGTAGGCTCTGCTTGCCTGCCCATGTCTCTCACTCGTTAATAGTTAATCAAGGAACTTGAGTCACTCCTTTGTGCAACACGCTCTCGACAAGAGCCCGCGAGCGTGATAACATAGTACACGCGCCGACACCCCAAACACGATATCGTGTAGTCAGCTGACGTCGGTAGGGAAAGGTTCGGGAGGTAGGCACCGGAACACAAAGGCAGCAGCAGCGGGCGGTTTTTGCTCGCGCGCGCCAAGGAGATCCAGGGAACAGGGTTTGGAATACGAGGGCAGCAGCAGCAGGGCGGTTTTTGCCCGCGCGTGCCAAGGAGATCCAGGGTAAGCTTTTGGAATACAAGG